TGATGACTGCAAGGTGGAGTGATGCCTGGACACATCACGTTAGAATAAACATCCAATTTGTCCAACCCTGAGTTCCTGGTACAAAAAGTACCAAGAACTTAAAGAAAATTCCTGGAAATTATGAAGGGAGTGGGCAATTAAAACTTCCTATAGGGTGAATCTCTTCCTAGTCCTCTGGATTGTCAGTTTACCAAACAAAATACACATATGAAATATACAAAAAAAATTCCTTTTTTCATTATTTGCATAAATATTGTATCCATCCTTAATGTGACCAATCTGTTTAGGTGGAAACCTAGCTACGCATTTTAGTAAGAGATTCCATAAAAGAAGGAGCTTAGCTTTGGAAAGGAACTATTTTGAAATTGCATTTCCACAGCTAGTTCCCAAAATTTACTAGCTACTTATTCAAAATAGGGTTGCTTGCAGCTCCACTGAATTGCTGTGCTTCACTGAATTAAGAGGATCTCTAGACAGCCAGTGTAAAAACAAAATGTTCAGATTTCCATTTGTGATAACTGATATTTTAATGAAACTGCTCCAAATATTGTACACTGATTTCACAGTGCTCTATTCATTGAATCTATTCCATATGTTGCAGCCAACAGATGGTCAACACAGCAGTTTTGAATTCAGAACCAAACAAGGCATCACCACAAAATGCAGAAGAGGAGGCCCATTATTTAAGAGGAAGCCAGAGGCATTATTTATATCAGTACTGTGGGAATGAAAAGTTGCGCAACCCTCCAGAACTGAACGATGTGAACAGAAGCTGCCGAATATGTGCACAGAGCTGCCAAATAGTCCCTAGTCAGAAAGACAAACTATTAAGAATACCTTATCATGCAAAAGTGTGCAAGAAGATTTAGTATTAATCTCGGCTTAGGGAGAACGAGAAGCAAACCACGTGCACCCACTCAACTCAACAACAGCGTTTAGTTTCCTGACAGCTACTGAATGTATATGAAAACCTCATGGACAGCAGAAAGCAGCTTGCAGGCAAACGGAAGTTCCTATATGAGATTTAACCAATTCTACTACCTCAGGAGGATTATAAAAGCAGGATGTTGAGAAGTGCACAATAGCTGGACAAGGCTGCCCTCTGCTGATATTAAATTCCAGTTTTGTCAGTCACTTACCACTGCAGGAGCATTCACCACGGAGAGATTGTAACCGTAAAGAAAAGACGACCCAAAAGCACCAGTTAAAGAGGCTACAATAAGACTCCCAGACCAATTCTGAAAAACAAAGAAAAGATGCAGCCATTGTTAGTACACTTTAAATTGATGTACCTCAGGTTTTAAACACTCCTTACGTGATCTTGCATAGCTCCTGCAGGCAGATGTCCTTGCTGCAGAATAATGGTCTGAAACATTTCCCCTTGCTGCAATCTGAGGAACAGCAAATTTGAAGTGACAACATCTCAGACAACATTTACTGGGGCATAACTGAACATTTGAATTTCTTTCAACCTCACAGATTTTTGCAGTAAGGATCCCAACAGCCCCCACACCAAAAAGTAAAATGCTGGAGAAGCATATTCTTAGCAAAGGAAACCATTGGTGACATACCACTAATACAACAGAACAAGAAGTAGCAGCACATTTGATGTGACAGGTCTGTGGGCAGACCTGACTTGAGATGAAAACCTGTGAGATGGTGCGGCCCCCACTCCCACGAGTATAAGGATTAATGAAATCGTGACGAAAAAAATTAAAACAATGACTACAAAGCAGGTCTTGTAACCCAAATGCAAGTCTCCAACAGAAATTTGCTCACACACACACACACACACACACACGCTCTCTGATGGAGATGCCATTTGCCATACACCTGTACTTCTTCCTTCTCAGGTCTCCTCCCTCCACCCCCCTCATGCTGTCCTTAGCCCACCTCTGCTCACAATTACTACTTCCACATCAGCTGCTGAATAAGAGGTAGGACTGCTTTCATTTGAAAGATTCTGCATTTCAGGGTCCTTTCCACCCTCCCCAGTATTACTTTCTGCCACTCAGTTCTCCTGCTGGGTTACAGACAGTGGCAGAAGTGACCATTGCCATTCCCAAGGCAAGCCCCCTTCCTTGACTTCTGAATATGTTAAAGTGGACATTTTTAATGCGTTTTGAATTTTTTTTAAAAAAAAAAAAAAAAAAGAAGAAAATGCTGCTAAGAATCTAGAATTTCAGGCACAGCTACTGTTCATTTTATGCCCAGCCTCATCACTCCCTGAAGCCTCAATCCTTTCAAAAGGAGAAAGACCTGCTTACGCAGGCCTAATAAACTCAGCTTCAGTTATACCACAGCAGACACAACAGGTTATCGAGTCAATACATTCTGCCAACTGTACAGAGCTGTATGTTCGCTTCGGAAAATGAAGATCTGGAGCGTGAACTAGGTTTGTGTAGCTAGCACACAGCATAGCAACAGTGATGATGGACTGGAACGAGCTCCACCAGCCTCACAGGCACAGCAGGGCAAGAGAGCACACCGTGGTGGTTCACATGTGCCAGAGCTCACATTCTACACTGTCATCATAGACTCCCTATGATCCATGAAGAAGGGATGAGATACTCAGGCACCATGACAGGGATCACAGCGTACAACCCAGCACACGTGGGGTCTGCCATGCTCCGTAGCTGCCACTCCTGAGGGCTCAAAATGCACCCTGTGGGACAGCTGAGTGTTTTTAACATCTTCCACATGATGTGGGAATTTTTTCAGAGATTACACAGTTCATTAAGCAGCCTGTTTTCGGTCAGGTCAGGAGAAAGCATACAAGGGGAAAAAAGCCTCCTGTAAGAAACACATCCCATTGAGTTCATTACCTAAGCCAAACACAATTTCTTATTATTAGCCAGCTTCATAAAATGAACCTCACACACAGACACAGACACACAGCTTTGCACTCTGAACTAATGGCACTGAGGAGAATATTCCCGGAGGTCTACCAGCCTGCTCCTAAAGGGTTCACAGATGATAAGCGAGAGTTCACAAGAGCCATGCAGCAATCTTGATGCAATACTGGTAAAGGGCTCTAGTCCAACGATGCTAGACTCACCATAAAAATCCTGCAAACAAAATTATTTGGATCATATAGCCTAGTGTTTATTGAAAACTCCAGCAAATGCTTAAACCTTTCTTCACAGGCAAATCACATGCACAAGGCTAAATGGAAGATAATGCAGGACAAATCACAGAAGTGCTGCCAAATTAGAAAACCCCACATCCACTTTATTTGCAAGTATTGGAAATAGCTGGCTTCAGAGCCTACTTCAATACCAAGAATTTTTAAAGTATACAGCCTGTGGCAGAAAACCTCAGACTTAATTGATTCAGAGTTTTACATTTCTTGGAACATGAATTTCAACTTCTCCATCATCTGCCTCTTCATACACCATTTTAAATATTTGCTCAGGCTTCAGCAACGCCAGATGAAAGAGGAAAGCGCAATGAAGCAAGAACGCACGCAAAAAAAAAAAAAAAAAAAAGTCAAACTGTTGCTCAGAAAAATATTAACCCTGCTGCAACGTTAACAAAAGGAAAGGAAACAAAACCAAACCAATATGTTTTGCAGTGACTGGGAAACAAGGCGGCGACCACGCCCCCCTCATAGGTGTTCCTTGACTTCAGCGCCATCCGTGTGCTCATGCGTCGCTGCCGTCAGCACAAGGGCAGGTAGGTGTGACCGTCACCACAGCAGTTAAGTGTTCGCTCAGGAAAGTTGCATGGCAGTTCACAGGAAGGACCTCACGATACCCGAGAACTGCTTACTTGTGAAAGTCCTCATTTTTGGCCTTGTGACGGGCCGCAGCGCACTGTGCTTGGAGATGCTTTTCCTGACTCCAGTCCTTGTTCAGTATGCGCCATAACATCTGTGTCGGCTACTATGACTCTTAAATTGCCTTTTTCTTTGAATGCATGACAGTTTGCACTTCTGTTTTCAAAAGGTGGTTTAGAATATTGTACTTTGGTTAGTTAGCTATAAACCCCCTCTCGGCTGAAAAGTAAACACAACTGTAAGTGGTAAACAGTGCACATGTGCATAAGTAAGTTTTAATATTCTTAACCGGCTCTTGTTAAGGCTTTCTATTGCTATTGGGAAGCTGGATTTCGGGGCACCTTGCCCGACACCCTCAAGGGGATCCAGCTCTAGGAAGCGCCGGGCACCCCGAGCTCCGGGA